TATATATATAACAGCTTCTAAATATTAATGTCATTAGGAAAAACAGAATCCACATCTAATCCACGATGGATCTAACACCCTTAAAAACGAAGAGCTGTGTCATACATTTTTAAATATATGATTTGTTGAAGAACCTTCTGCCAAAAACTAGTCTACAGAAATAGTTTTTCCAGCAGGCTGAGCTGTAGGCTGTAGCTGTGAGACTAGAAGTAACCTCCAAACCCCCAGCTCCTAACATTTTAAGTTCAAATATGAAATTATTGAGTGAAATTATGCAGTTTATGTTTTGTAAAAGGTAACTATCTTTCCAGTCTTAACATCTATCTATATATGTATAAAAGAATAACATGTTTGCCTATTTAATAGCAAACTAATTATATGATGTAAAACACCCTATGGCATTGCACACTGAAGAAATAAAATGCCTATTTATTAATACATAAGTACAGATCACCAATAAGGCAGGTTGTTAGCTGGTGCTCCTGGAGCTTTGCTGAGCAGAGCATCTCATTCAACATTATTATTAACTCCTTCACCATTTCCAAAGCAGCGACTTGGTAAGAAAGCTATAAGGATCAGTGGAAGGTGTCCCTTACTCAAGTCTCCAGCTTCCTCTTGGTCCTTTTTGCTAAATGCTGCTTCTCTCATTTCCCATTCCAGTCACCAGTCCCTCTCAGTCTTCTTTTGCTGTGCTGCACACACTTGGGGAGCTTTCTGATATGTTTTGATGCCTCCTTCATCAGCCTCCTTGACCTGCATTTCTTGTGAAGATGTTATTTCCTTCTTACCAGCAGCACTTCATTGCTTTTTGCAACAGTTTTTGGGACATATCATATTCCATCTCAGCAGGGACCTGGTTTAAAGAGATAAACTCATGAGGAGATGTGGATGCTTATCAAAATAGGCCAGTTAGAAACAAGAAGGAACTTACTTTTTTTCTTGGGCCTACATCCAACCTGCTGCACAGGCTTTGTGCAACTTCTGTGCTTGAGAGTGATTTTACCAACTACGAGCCCTCTCCATCACTGTAAATGGAAAAACATCAGCAGATGTGCTAAAGTTCTTAAAGACGTATCTGAAGCCAGCCTGCAGGCCTGCGGAGATAGTCTTGCCTTCACTAATAGAAGCTAAAACCAGACCACAATTTTACCAGCTTCTGGAAACAAATACTTAATTTCAAGGTTAACAGCATGCTGGAATAGTATTATTAGCTCTTTCCAGTTATCCAATAAAATTGAAAGCACATCTGCTGATACAAAAATACTTTATAACAACATAAAAAGGAAAAAAAAATGCAAGTAATTCAGACTTTCTACAAAACCTTTAATCTAGCCTACACTTCCTCTGTAATTCCTATATATGCTGATAGTTCCCTGAACACAGCATCAAATAGATGCATGGAGAGAGGGTGGAGGGAGATGGAAATTAATCCCTCTCTACAATTTAGATCTCACAAAAGCATTCCCACTACAAAAGTGAGTCACCCCAGTGTTGCTAATGGGTAAGACAGGACTACACATCCATTATTTCAGTCAAAATACATGCGTCTACATAATGAAACCGTATCTAGATAACACAAAACTATCTTACTTGCTTCCCAATCTCATTTGAGCAAAAAGGTATACATCCATCTTGATTTAGACAAAGAATACATGTTTTCATAATAATGCATAGGGGAGAAATAAATTTCAAGAGCATAACACAGGAGATAAAAACTTGGACATTTTAAGGGAATCCACATGAACAATACTTAAAGAGATTTGAGTCCAATTAAAAAGAGATATGAGTCCAGCCTTGCAGCTGCTGTATTAAAGCTCATTACTCTGATTGTTGTATTACATCTTTTACAGAGACATGAGAAAATTGGCATTTATTCATGCAACAGCCACCAAACTCCCCAAACAAGGTTGACATCTAGTATGCTGCCTATACCTATGCATACTGTGAGACACCTTAGGAACAAGAAATCTCTAATGAAAGCACCAGACTAACTTCTCATCTCTCCTAGTCTTTCTGAACCTATCTCCTACCAGGAAAATGAGCCTCACATTAAGTATCATTTTATGCAGAAAGTTAATAGATCTTTCCTAGTCACTCAGTCAAATTTAATGTGGTAATTACCTCTAATTTCACAAATGGGAATGACAGAGCAATAAAATGTGTACACCCGCAAGCAGACATTAAATGAAGGTTGGGGTTTTTTTCCACTGTAAAAGAATGACACTGCACGTTAAAAAAGTGAACCAAGTGAAATGAAACACTGCACCGCCAGAAAAAACCCAAAGAAGCTGCATCTCAGGCCAATCCAAACAATGACTTTATTTTCTGTGGAACATCACCATGGCAGCCCCCACAGCAGCATCAACATCCTTCCCATACACCACAGGGAATGGAAAAACCCTTTCCACTTCCTGCCTCAGCACCTCGTTCCTGGCAAGGGCACTGCCGCTCCCCAGAATCCTCCTCACCCCGGTCTCCATCAGGCACTGCACAGGTAACATGGAACAGAGGTTTTCAATGATGCCACGGCACAGAGCTCTGGTTACATGACCCAGGGAGAGGTCAGAGACAGCAATATTGCTCACTGATGCCAACTGCTCAGGAATGTGTCTCTCTCCAAATATGGTTGGGTGGATTGAGAGTTTGCTGTTGGTTTGGGCCAAGGCTGCTTTGATTATCTTTGTATAGATGGCAGACTCCTGGACCTGAAGTCCTGCAGATGGGAAATATCACATTACTAATATGAAGGGATCCAATGTTTCTTACATGTGGAGGCTTAAAATGGACAATCCACCCTTCAGCAAAACACTATCTTCTTCTGTGTCCCAGAAGTCATTGTTTTTCCAGGTTTATGAACCACAGTTCTCCCATCCAATTTTATCTAGAACCTGTGATACTTAAAATCCTTTTCAGATTACAGAAACTGCCTTTCCTGACAACACAGCTATTCCTCTTTGCCTATACTGTCCTAAGTTACACAAAACAACACCTTTAAAGGCATTAACAGCAGATTTCAGCTTCAGTGGCTGAACTGCACATGAATGCAAAGTTCATTTCAAGTACTCACTTAAAGAATAATTTCAAAGCTTATTTCTGTATTGCAAAACCCAAGGGATTATTAAGAAATCTGTGAAGAACACATTCAAAGCACTTAGAAGACATTACATGAGTTTAACTCTTAAAATCCATTAGAGTGCTGCAAAATACACAGCAAAAGGCAACTGATCTAATCAAGGGACTCTTCTGGACTGCATTCATACAAAATTAGAGGCTGTCCTCAAATTTACTAGCCTGTCCTTTTGAAAAAACATCTTGCAAAAAATAATCCTAGTATTCTTAAAACAAAAGAAAACCCAAAACCTAGAGGCAATGTGAATGTGGAGTCCAAGCATGACTGTCCCAGCATGGTCATAAGCTTCAGCAACAGCAGGAAATTCCAGAGATCTGGGAAGCATGGCCCAAGAGCTACATCCTCATTCACTATATGGCATGACAAAACAGCTCTAGGCCTGCTCCTTTGCCTTAGCTTCCTTTTACTTTGCTGATGAATCCAATTTTTAAGCCATCTTTGAAATATATCCTTGAAAATACAGCTATCCTATATTTTACACTATCCTTGAAGGAGCTTACCTAGCTCTTCTGTCCACCGTGCCACCATGCCCACAAACGTTGCTAACACATTGCCCCCATTAAGTGATGCTGCCACAGCCAAGTAGTCACCATTGAAGTAGGGAAAATAAGTAACAGCTGAGGAAGGATCTGGTGTCTCTGGAGGCTGGAAACCCGGAGGCATTGAGATAGTCAGCTGAGCAGAGGTGCCGATATTAAGAACTAGAACATAAAAAAAAATAAATCAGTGTTTTACTAGGCTACCCTGAAGGAGGACAATGAGAAAACCAAGTAAGATACCAAAATGATCATACCTGCATCAGTCCTCTCAGTCAGACAGGAATAAACAGAGCACTGGAAATCCCCCAGAGCAATTCCTACTTTTGCTCCTTTGGGTATTCCATGCCATGCACTGACTGTCCTGCCTGCAATACTGCCAGGGTCTCCCACCTCTGGAAGGAAGTGAATGGGAAAGCCAGATTCTTTTAATCTGCAATTAGAAGAATATTATTGCAGGAAAGCAGTATGGGAATGTGTGGCATGACTACAAAGACCTCTTTGAGGTCACAGAGGAACCCAGACCTACATTTGTGCCTGCTGGATTTATGGATGCTTTCACCTATTTGGAAAGCTTTGTCTTGGACAGGAGCAGCATTCCAGTTCAATGGGTTGGGTAAACTAGAATAATCTAGAAGAATAAATAGCTTTCCCTTATATGCATCCTGATTACCTGGGATTATAGAGCAGTACATGTTCAGCAAGTTTAACCTAGTGATGTCATATGGACAAGCAATTACAGGGTAAAGAGACAACCACAAAACCAGCAAAAAAATGCAACTTCTAAGTGTCAAAAAACTTTAAGCTGTCATGCAGTTAGTGGTTCAAAACCAAACCACAAAGAGTTAAGTCCAACAAACTCCTTACATAAGATACTCTACATTGCTACAGCCATACCACCAAATTAATAAAAGTTCAGTAGGCCAAATGCAAGTTTCTGTCACTCTTTCATACCTTCATGAGCAGATCTTTTCACCTTGGAGTCCTGGCCTAACCTAAGCTCTGAAATACATAAGGCCTTAGCACTCAGCCCTGAAAGAGCAAATCATTAAAATAAGTAAGTAAATTCCTGAAAGAGCAAATCCTTAAAATAAATAAGTAAATAAATAAACTGATTCCCTATAAGACTTCCTGAAGATCCGTAATTCTTAGGTATTATCACAAGTAAGTCTTAGTAGTTATGAAAGAGGTCATCTGAACGAACTAGAGAATAGTAACTGTCTTTTACCATTACAACATCTTGGCTGCAGCATGCACTTGCCCACCCTATCCCACCACAGAAAGGGAGAGAGCAGTTTGGTATGAGGCCTCACTAACAAGTCTCTCAGCTTAGGTATTTCTAAAATACTGTGCCAGATTTTATATGATTTAAATATATGCACCTTACAGAACAAACTCTCCATAGTTCTTCAGTACAGGCTACACAACTGATTAGGACTAACTTTCAGTCACTTTTTATCTGTAGCACTCTCATACTTAAGGCCCAAAGAGATGTTCACATTGCCCAACACAAGCAATACACAAAACCCATTGAAAGACCTTAGCACTTACATGTCAGTATTCCAGCTTTTATTTCTGGAATTAAAATATCCCCAGCTGGCAGCATTCTGGACAGACATGAGTGGCTTCCTCAGGTCACACAACATGGCAACCACATAGTCATGGATAGTGCCAGCTGTATCGTAAGACTTCAGAAAATCTGGGCTTTTAAACAAAACATATTAAAACCAATGAGGGGTGCTTTAAGGCAGAGGGAGCAAGATTACTTCCATTGATACGAGAAGCTTCAGACATGTGTGGGCCCATCTAAAAATGAAAGAGCCATCTCAGTGATAAGCCTGCACTTCGTTGTTTTGGTTTGGTTTTGTAAGTGGAATTTGTTTTCCAAGCTCTTACTGTCGCACCAATACTCATCTCCTGTTGGAAGATAGAGAGACAGTGGCTTTAAGGAATGAGTTGTCCAGGTTCAAAATCACACCGCTGCAAAAGTTACCAGGCAGGCAGTAACTGTTTGCACAAAAAAATGACTCTGGAGATCATTTGTTGATCCTGGAGCATTTTAGAAAAATGGGTAAATTCCTGCAGTTGCTCTAAGATCCACAAATTGTATGAATGGAAATGTACCAATGGTGAAACAAAACAGGAACAAAACAAAAGCTGGACTCATGAGTTAAACAGCTGTGAAGCAAGATCATGCCATGCTCTATGTATTTGCTGGACACACACTGGAAGAAACCAAGATGTAGTAAGTTTTTTCCCCATTTATTGAACCTGAACTCATTTCACAGGAAGATTTTGGCTCTTTGAAAAACAAAGCATTCTGCAGAGGTAACCGAAGAACAAGTCTTGCTGGTGCCAAGTCATAAGTGAAAAATTATATCCTCTGCAAACACATCAGAGCAAAGCAGACAATTTTTAACACCTCATAAGGATCTCGGTGCCTAAGGAAGGAAGGAACTGAAATTAATTTAAAGACTATTTGTTTTAGCATCTGGCAGCAAGCAGACAAAGCAACTAAATTACTGTTTCAGGCATGCTTGTATTTTTCACAGTCTGCACAAGGCAAAATTATAATGTTCAAACTGCATTAGCAGAGCTCCTCTGAGCAGTGGGACAGACTAGAATTATTTTATAATACTTTAAGGCTTTCCAAAGTGAAACACAGCCCCTCAGCCTGTAGTGGTACTAACATGCTACAGGAATACTGTCACATCAATTCAAGATGAGAAACTGCCAGTCAAACAGCCTGATACAGAAATGCTTTTGAGAAACAATGTACCTCTTCTTTAAATACCAGTAGACTGTGGCACATCCAAATCCTGCAGCCAAGTTGATATGTGACTGTGGCTGAGGAAGAGAAGAGAGGAAGGTGGGACTGCAGCGGCTGTCTTGCCATGTAATCAGATGACTGACCTCCTCCGGCTCAAAGGCAGGGCCTGGGCCACCCTCTGTCCACTTGCAACCTGAAACACACAGTATCTGAGAAGTCCAGCGACCCCTGCAGCACAGTCCACCTGGCATTCCTCATTTCTGGATACTCTCGATGATTTGTCAGATATATTGGAAAAAGAGCAGAAACAGAGCCAGCAGCAACTGGAATCAAATTAATTAGTCATAGTTTTCAACCCTATAATGCCAGTCATCCTCTGCAAAACCAGAAATTGGTATCCAAGACCTTCCTTCTCTAAAAGCACTCCTAGTGCCTAGAGGAACAAGCAATTTGCACCCTGAGATACTTAAATATCAGGTGACCCACAAAACAACCAACCAACCAACACCTCAGTTCTGCTATGGGAGGTAATGAGCTGATACAACAGCTCTCTTATACAAACCTTAACTGAGAGCTGCCACATCATAACCTAGAGAATAATTATTAGTAACCAACTGCCTGTGATGGATAGCATGTAGTTTCATCACCTTTTGAGACAAAGGCAGAAGAAGCCTGGATCTGTATGTGTTAGCAATGGACTGCAAAGTACTAAAGAGTATCCCTTCCTTTTGCTATGCATAAAACTTCACCAAAGGTGGAACAGAGCTTAATTCAGTTTTCAGTTTTACCACTCCAGAATGTTCTTTTGAACAGAGATCACCACACCTCTGATAAAACCTTCACATTCTTCCACATAAAGGCCTCAGGTAAATCACAGTGACTTCTCAGAGCTGCTCAGAATCTTCTCAAGCAATGTCTGCTACTGCTCCAGCCCAGCGTGCTATTTCCTGCCCCAACATGCTCACCACAAACAATCCTGCAAAGGCAGCACACTGACCTGCCAGAGCAGCAGAGTAAGCAGAGGCTGAGCTCAAGCACAGGCATGTGATGTTTGCTCACACTCTCCACAACACAGTTTCGATTGCTCCCAGGTGATGCCTGGCCACAGTGTGGGGACTGGGGATAGGACAGGCCATGCGCTGCCTCTGGCTGGCTCCATAACTGAGGCAGCCTTCTGGTTTTGACTGGGGGTCGGAGTAGGGTTTCAAGCTGTGCTGTGCCACTTATCCTACAGGTCAGGGAAGAGACCCAGCTGCCTGACTAGCACAAATATGGCTAAGAATCTTTCTTGGGCTGGATACAGCTACATTCACAGAGTAAAAAGCAGCCACAAAAGCTGGAAACTACTATATGAAAGATGTAAAGCAAACACATTCTTTTTCTTGTTCCCTTCATTCCCTGTTCTATTAAATCTGTTTGAACTGAATTTCCAATTGGTTTGCTTTTCTAGTTTTAAATGGATGCTAAGAGAAATTATTAACCATAAATCTAACCCTAAAGGATGCTATTAAAAATGAATTTTTGTATCTCAAAGTGCATGGACCCACTTAGTCTACTCAAAACAAATGAGAACAAACACCCTCTTTCACTTGACAGAAATGAAACAAAAGTGGACTGTGGCTTTAGGAAATAAAATATTAACCAATATGACATAAGAATCTATGTCTACCATGAACCCATGAGGCTTTGTTATGTAGCCCTTGGGACAACTGGAAAACCAGCAACAGCTCCTTTGGTCCATCAGCCTTTGGATTTCTTTCTTTCTTTCTTTCATTACAGCCAGTAATGAATAGCACAGTGTCTCTTAAAGCAATTAAGACCCTGACAACTTTTGACAGGCAGTGACTAGCACTTTTGGGAAATCTATGCTGTGGTTTACAATACATTTTTGCTTAATCTGCCTAACTTCTATAATTATGAGGCTTGCATAATTGCTCAGATGTGCACATCATAAGGTAAAAGAGAAAGAAGACATGGAACCACATTCTGAAAGTCTCAGACTTCAGTTCTGAAACAAAAAAAAGGACTGAAAACACTGTTTACTGAACTTCAGTTTTCTCCTGCTTTACTTTCAAAGAGCATTTCAAAATAGCTGTTGGATAGCTACTGCTATGCACATTGTAATGGAAAAATCAAGCACATTTTATTTTTCAAAGCATACACAAAACTGCTACTACCACTCCTATAGTATCATTAGAAGGTATTGAGATACTGGACAACAGCTAGTTAAGTGTTTTATGAGGTGAATAAGATCCATCCCCACCCCAGGTCACTCATATGATGCACAAGGTCTTTCAACTGGCAGCATATAGCATATGATGGACATATTGGACAAGCCACAAATATGTTATCCCTCTTTCATATTAATAATTGTGCTTACTCTGCAGGGATCTCCTTAGGCTAAATGCTTTAACAAATCTGTGTAAACAATATCCTTAACTGAAATTCCAATGATTAAAAAAAAAATATAAAAAAAAAATCCACAGAAGATCTTGTGTTCATTCTGTTTAACAGAAGACCAAAGTGAACACACAGCAATTGCCTACAGACAGCTTCAGAGTTAAAAAATCACATTTTCTGTATCATAATACTCTGAACAGGAATGC